CTCTCTCTCTCTCTCTCTCTCTCTCTCTCTCTCTCTCTCTCTCTCTCTCTCACTGTCTCCTTCGGTTTTCTAGCTCATTCTCTCCTTCGATTTCAGTCTCTCTCTCTCTCTCGCTGTCTCCTTTGATTTCAGTTTCTCTCACTTTACGTCTCCATTTCTTTGTCTTCTTCGATCTCTCTCTTTTTTTCTCTGTCACCGAAGAACCCTAATTGTTTTCCCCAAATCGATTTTAGTTTTTAAAGCCCACATGTGAAATCATTAAACAAAAACGATGTCGTTTTGCTCTCTCAAAACGACAACGTTTTAAAGAAAACGGAGGGATAAAGTTCCAACAACAGAGTCAGCTATGCTAGTAACGGGGTTAAACTAACAGTGCGACGAAAATAGCCAAGTTGGAGGTTTTATAAGCTAAATAAACCACCTTCAAGGTTTAAACTGCTTGTGAAATACCCTCAAGGTTTAAAGTGCTCATGGTAGAATCTTGGAGATTTTTTATGCGATTTTCCCAAATATTTTCAGTAGCATACAACCTAAATTTTGAATATTTTTGATGTTTCAAATTAATATAGCTTTAACTGCTTGAAAGTCTTTCATTCTTTAAAATTATTTCTTTTGTTAACTTTCCTAAGATTTAATATACACACACACACACAGACACACACACACACACATACACATATATATATACATATACATATATATATATATATATATATCAATTGTAATTAATTTTAGTTTTTTAAGAAAATGGTCATTTTGAAATTTTTTGCAATTTAGAATAATAAACTAAACTATTGATTTGTTATATTTTGATTAGTTATTTTAAATCATATGTCAATAATTTTTTATTATTTATAGGCTGAATTGTAATGTATTTTGTTTAGAAGAACGCTTGAATTGTATTGTTATATATAATTTTAAATAAAATTGTGATGTAAAAATGCAAAATAGTTGTATTCAATGGATAATTGTGAAATCTAATAGATATCTAGAAAATGATGTTAATATATACAGTAAACATCTACAAATTAATAATGTTGGGATTTTAAAATTTTATTAATTTATACAGATATTAAATTTTTTTTAAAAATCCATATTTGGATTTTTTGTTGTAAGATATATTTATTCTTTTTTGGGGAACAAGATTTATTTATTCTAAGTTAACAAAAATATTTAATTTTAGTGTATGGACATTAATTATTATTTTTTGAAATCTATTCAAAAGTGACTCAAAACTCCAATTCAACACACAAAAATAACCTCTCTTTTTTTGTCATTTTATTTGTCCAATCCACTTCAGAAGTTCTGATTACTCACAAAAATACAACTTATTTTTATTTTTATTTTTTTGAAAATGATTATTTTACTCTTTCATCTTCATCTTCATCAATTAATCACGAAAAATGTCATTGATATCAATTCACCCAATAACTATGAATAACCAAAATGAAGCTCTTAATGCATCTAAAAAT